CACTAGAAGTTTGCAGATCATGATATTACACTGTAGGTTCCTGTAACCCCGTTATTTTGTCTAGTATGTCATTTAAATGCGTCAGAGACCGCATCATCAGCCGATATAATTCGTTTCAAGAGACCGTCGTTTTTGGAGTAGTCTTCAGATTTAATCGAGAACCTTCATCAAAAGAGACTATTCCGCATCATTGCAAATGCTACATAGCCTGGCTAGTTTGAAAATGCGAAAGTCTAGGACTAATTGCAGTTTTGTAAATATAGGCGTTTTGAACCGGCTTGCTACACATCAGACTGATGGGATCAAAATGGACCAATAATGAATTTAGATGCTGGAAGATTCTTATTCCAACAAAGATACTACTTATATGAAAATTTATTACGGTGGAACCTCTATAACGAAGTCCTCGGTCTAACGAACTATTTTTTTGTTACTCCAGTCATAGTAAAACATAAGGCAATATGAAAAAGAACCTTGATATAAGTTGACGAATCTCGTTATAATGAACATATTTTGCCAGTTCCTTGGCCCTTTTTTGTATCGAGGTTCCACTGTACTTAATTTTATTTATTAATTGTTCAAAAAGTGGGGGGACCCTGCCCCCCTTCCCCGCCCCATCCCCCTCGCCCCGCGCGGACCCTGCCCTAGCTTGGCTCAGGCTATATGATACCCCCAAATAGACTATGCTACATCGGGCAACAAAAAACAATAAAATTTTAGCCCTTGGTTTGTTCAATGTAATCACTGGACAGTATGACTAACAAATAACGGATTTCTATACTGCACACCCTAAGTAAGACCAAAACTTGTCCTCCAGGTTCTAAGGGAGGGCCTCACATTTATCTTGTGATCGACAATTGTGCAGATCAATTGTCAGGCTAGGGTGGACAGTATCTCATTTATAGGAATAACATTAGTCTATCCCAGCCTGTTAAAAGATACACCAAGGTTTTCAGAAGTACCAAGGCTGTACTCTATACGAGAAATTGAAAGGAGACCAGTGCTCCAAACATGTGAAATCCTGGGTGCCCAGCACATGATTTCTATGAAAATACTTTTTAAAAAAGATTCCTAGTTGCCCCGGAACAATAGTTAGGCGCCATGGGCCAACCGGGCGCTGGTAGAACACAACCTTGAGTAGTGAAACATAAAGCAGCAGTGACTAGCAGGGGCCATGAAACTATCTCATACATGTACATAAGCCTTACTTGCAATAAATATTTCAGGAACCAAGCCTTGGTGATTATTCATATATTTTTAACTTGCAATCTGTCAGTTACATCACTTCAGTGATTCAGTGCATGAGTAACCCTGTGTTGGAGTTTACATCTCAAATTATGATATACTCATATAATTATTATAAGCATTCAATGCAAGAATGCAAAACTTTTCTTTATTCACTCAAAAGAATAACAATACACAACATTCAAGATAGGATCACATTTAAATTTTAAAGACCACATCAGTAAAATTAATACTAATAATTCTTGCTGTATTTTCCAAAATTACATAAAAAGTTTTACAATAAACTTGTGTGGGCTCTCTTGATTTAACTTGTGGTTTGAACTGACAATATGTGTCTGTGCAGTTAAATCAGGTTATGAGTTTTTTGGAAGAGTTGAAAGGCTCCCGAAAATTCTAGGTGACCTTTTTAGGGTAAAAATCCGTTAAAAATGGGCAATTATACCATTTGTTAGATGTTCGAAAATCCTAGGAGAGGCTGGCAAGCAAGAAATTTTACAACAAATCCGAAAATTCTAGATCTTAAAACGTCTTGCGGACAGATATTTTCCTAAAATTGACGTTTGGTGCCCCTGAAGAGAGGTGCACAGCACTCAAAGGAAACATACATATATACATGTATCACATACGCGTTATACCGAGTGGAAGCTGAAGGTTTCCTAAAAGTTTCATAGTCGTCGCGTTCCAGTCGAAAAAAGGTCTAAGAAAAACTTTATCTTCGATGACTTCGCCAGTAGTAAAAGCAAAAATCACCACCGGCGATATAAATAACTTAACAATGAGCATTGGGGACATTCACTGCAAGCTTTCCAAACTGCAGGCTTACCTCCTTGCGCTCCCTCTTCATGCGAAGATTTCTTTCAGATTCAAGATCTGTTGATTGATCTTTCTTCCATATGCCAGCAAACGATCCACGTTTAATTTTCCGCCGCTGGTTTGCGTTGAGAGCCCCGGGAAATGCTATTGCAGCACTCTTCGAAGTTATTAAACCGAGAAAACAGCGAAGCTGTCAGCTGTAAACAAACCTATTCCTCGAATCTCTAATTCTGTTGGTCAGACTCGCGTGCAGCTCAATTTTTCTCGATAGCAGGGGTTGCTACACACATACGGACCCTAATGTAGTAAGATCGAAAGAGTTTTCCTAAAAAAGAACGCATCGAAGTGGGAGAAAAAGCGAACATTGTTTGACCAGAGCTCGTTCAAGAAATTAGTCACGCTGCGGGTAATGAGCTAAGAAAATGACGTCACAAAGCAATTGTCTTGTATTCTTGGTAACCAGGCCTCAGGATCATATCGATGTAATGGCGGAGGAAAGTAAATAGTTTTTGAGCGCAAAAAAATACCACTTTCCTTAATCGTATGACTTGAAGTACATGGTGTGCAAATTATAGCTTACTAAACTGCCAATCTAGCGAAAGAAAATGGTATTCATGGATTTAATCATACTGGGTATCAATTTAAGCAATGATAGACTCCAGCTTGTTTTTCTAAGCTTTTTCTAATATGCGATGTTATGCGGCCAAAATGATAGAGCTTTTATGACAAATTTCCGAGGAGAATATTTTTCGGGAGAATTGACCGATATATGGGAACATTTGTATTACGCTTTACTTCGTAACCCGGTCAATATAATGACGACAAACCGCACTGCGGACTACGTTATAAAACATGTACACTCTGAAGGTGTTAAACGAGGGCTACAGACAATGTGAATGCGCTTAAAACACTGGGCTTA